CCGAAGTGATAGTATGGACAAAACACAGCCTGTTCGGGTCCAAATCTCTTTGGGGAAGAATTGTATTTGGATTGTGTTAGGGGTCTGCTATAGACCCCCAGGGTCAGATTCACATGTGGATAGAGATCTCTTCAATAATAGAGGGAATTGTCATGATGGAAGACTTTAATTTCCTGGATATAGGTTGGAGAATAAATGCTACTTGTATTGGTAGGGCCTAGTTATTTCTAGATGTGATAGATGAAAACTTCATAAAATTGTCACGAAACCAACAAGAGGTGATACAATTTTAGACTCTCTTTTAATAAGTAGCAAGGACATCCTAGAAGAGTTGTAGGAAGTAACTTTGGATTGAGTGGTTATGAAATGATTCAGTTTACCTGATTTGATTATCCTTCCATTTAATCAACTACCATTTTTTAATTCAAAAGGTCAGAGTTTGGGAAATTTAAGAGAGTTAGTTAAAGAAGTCAACTGGACTAAAGAGCTCAAGAACTTAAATGTGGAAGAGGCTTGGAATTTCTTCAAATCAACTATCTGAAATTTTAATCCCAAGCAAAGGAAAAAAATCTTGTATGCAAAGGCACCAGCCCAAGCTGGATGAATAACCAGCTCAAAAAGGGGTAAGCAGAGTGCTTCTAGGGAATGAAAAAAGGGGTTGATCAGCAAAGAAAGCTAAGTTGTGGAGGTTAGAAAACGTAGGAATAAAGTGAGAGAATTGCTAAAAGTCAAACTGAATTAGCTCTTGCCAAGAAAATTAAAATAATCGTTTAAAAAAATATATATATAATGAGAGAATAAGGAAGGATGCAGTTCGGTTGCTCTGTAGTGTTGATGGAAAGGAAATTAGAGGTAATCTAGGTATGGCCCCAAAACCAAATTAATATTTTTGCCTCTGATTTCAGTAAGAATAATACTATGGGACATGTGCCTGAAGGAGTACGGCTGATGGAAAAAGAGTGTCTAGAAATGGAAATTACCACATCTGAGGTGGAAGAAAAACTTAGTGTTTAATGCACTCCAGTCAGGGGAACTGAATAATTTCTGCCCCAGAATACTGAAAGAACTGGCTAATGAGACTGCTAGTCCAGTAGCAAGGATATTCAATAAATCTGTCTGTTTGGGGTAGAACCATATGACTGAAGAATAGCTAACTTCAGGCCTCTATTTAAGGAAGGGGAAAAAATGATCCAGGCAATTACAGGCCTGTTAATCTGATTTTAGCAGTATGCAAGCCTTTAGAACAAATTGTGAAGGACAGAATAATTAAATTCATTGAGGTAAATGGTAAAGGAAATGTAATGCAGCATGTGATTACCAAAGGTAGATAATGCCATACTAATACGATTTCATTCTTTGAGAAAATAACTGTATTTTTTTTTTTTTTTTTTTTTAGATAAGGGAAGTGCCATAAATTGGTGTACTTGAACTTCAGTAAAACATTTCACATGGTGCCACATGGGAATTTATTGGAAGATGGGGTGCAGTACAAGAATTGTAAGGTGGATAGGTACAGTAACTCCTCACTTAACGTTGTAGTTATGTTCCTGAAAAATGTGACTTTAAGCGAAACGATGTCAAGCTAATCCAATTTCCTCATAAGAATTAATGTAAATGAGGGAAAAGACACACACACACACACACACACACACACACACTTATAAACAAACAATTTAATACTGGTACACAGTGATGATGATTGGGAAGCTTGGTTGAGGTGGAGTCAGAGGGTGGGATATTTCCCTTACTGCTAAATGACAGTACTCCTCTCCCTCCATTCCTGCTGCCTTGTGTAGAGAGAGATATGCGCAGTTCCCTTAAGTACACTGCCTTGTTAATTAGATAAGCTCGCTGAGACCACAGCTGCTGCCAGCACGCTCCTTCCGTCCTGAGCCCAGCTCTATGGAAGATGGGGTAAGCGGGGTGCAGGAGGGAGGGGGACACCCTGACATTAGCCCCCCTCTTCCTTCCCTCCCCCTGCACAGCAAGCAGGAGTCTCGGGGAGCAGCTCCAAGGCAGAGGGCAGGAGCAGCACATGGCAGTGGGGGGAGGGACACAGCTGAACTGCAGGCAGCTGCTGCACGGGGAGCTGATACGGGGAGCTGATAGGGGCTGCAGGTCCACCCTGGTTCCAAGCCCCCATCAGCTAGCTGTAAGGGACTGCTCTTCCTGCAAGCAGTAGACAAAGCAGGCAGCTGCCAAACGACGTTAGAAGGGAGCATTACACAACTTGAAACGAGCATGTTCCCTAATTGATCAGCAACATAACAATGAAACAATGTTAACCGGGATGACTTTAAGTGAGGAGTTACTGTAACTGGTTAAAGGGAAGCAGGCAGTGGGTTGTGCTGAAAGGTGAGTTATTGGACTGAAGGGAGGTTACTTGAATTCCTCAAAGATCAATTTTGGGACAAGTCTGATTCAATATTTTTATTAATGACCCTGGTACAAAAAGTAGGAGTGTGCTAATGACATTTGCTCATGATACAAAGTTGGGAGGCATTATCAATACAGAGGAGGATCGGAATATTATACAGGAAGATCTGGATGACCTTGAAGATTGGAGTGACAGAAATGGGATGAAATTTAATAGTACAAAATGCAAACTCATGTATTTAGGATTAACTAAATTAGCAGAATTTCTGCTACAAGCTGGGGGCTCATCAATTGGAAGTGACAGGAGGAGAGAGACCTGGGTTTGTGAGTCAATTGCAGGATGACTGAGCCACCAATGTGATGTGGCTGTGAAAAAGGCACATGCAATCCCAGGATGTATCAGGCAAGGCATTTCCGAGAGAGAGAGAGGAGTATTAGTGCCATTGTACAAGGCACTTGTAAGACTCATTGTACAAGAATATGGTGTACTGCAGGGTGGCGCAAATGTACCTCGGATGGGTGACCTGTGCGACATGGCAGTGATGACCCACGCCTTCCGCCTCCTGACGTGCCCAGACCCGACGGTGAGGAGCATTGCGCAAGAAGCCGTATGGGCCGTGGTCAGGAAACGCATCGCCAGGGCCCCCTCCGAGCAGGACATCGCCACCTACCTCAGCAGCTCCCTGGAGGCTGAGTTCGGAATAGAGGGGGGAGACCTGTCCTCTCTCTGGTCCCGCGCCCGCAATGCCTCGAGACACCTGGGTTAGAGGATCGGCTGCTGCTGGAAGTGTTGTGAGGAGCTCCGGGAGCTGGGAATACTGATGCCATGCTTAAAGACCCAGGACCACACCGTCGTCACCCCAACCACCAGAGCTATGCTGGAAAGGACCCTGAAGGACACCATCCGCTGCCACTATGCCGAGAACCTCAAGCGGAAGCTGGACCAGGGCAAGGTGTTTGAGGTGTCCAGCAAGTGGGACGCCAGCAACCACTTCCTTCCTGGGGACAGCTTCATCAGGTTTGCCGACTGGCGGTTTGTCCACAGGGCCCCACTCAACTGTGTTCCCCTCAACGGAGCAGTCCGCCATGGCAGCCGGGACAAGCGCTGCAGGAAGTGCGGCTATGCAAACGAGACCCTGCCCCACGTCCTGTGCGGATGCAAACAGCACTCCGGAGCCTGGCGGCACCACCACAAGGCCATCCAAAACCGGCTGGTGAAAGCCATCCCTGGGGAAGATCACCCTCAACTCCGCCATCCCCGGGATAGACAGCAGACTGTGACCCGACATCATCGTGACGGACGCAGAAAAGAAGAAGGTCCTCATCGTAGACGTCACGGTGCCTTTTGAAAACCGGTCACCGGCCCTCCACGAGGCCCGAGCACGGAAGACGTTGAAGTACATCCCGCTGGCCGAGACCCCAGGGCTACGAGGTCCAGATACACGCCCTGATCGTGGGAGCCCTGGGCTCCTGGGACCCCCACAACGAGCCAGTTTTGAGAGCGTGCGGAGTTGGTCGACGCTACGCCCGGCTCATGAGACAGCTCATGGTGTCCGACACCATCAGGTGGTCCAGAGACATTTATACGGAACACATCACAGGACACCGTCAGTACCACACTGAGTAACCGAGACCGCCGACCAGGGAAATAACCCACTTCCTTCCCTGAGAGACCAAGGGTACCCCACCCATGTACTTATCCGCTATACCAATACTGACTTGGGCTCCTTATTCATTCCATGGATGGCGTACCTGAGCCCACTTATCCACTGACAATTTAAAAACTCTTGCACCCCAATCTTTGTCTGTGCAGGTTATGCGATATGTATGTATCTTTACATCCTTGCAAACGATACCTGTAACCCTCCCATAACCCAAGCCTGACTCCAGATGTGCAGTACCTTGCCTCTTAACTCGTGTATATTTCATTTTAAACATTCACTTTAATAAAATTTTTAATTCTGATAACCTGTCACCTATGTTGAAAAAAGATTAATTTTAAATAGGAATAGGTGTATAGAAGAGTTACTGGCATGATCTGGAGAATGGAGTGCATATCTTGTAAAAGGAGACTGAAAGAGCTTGGCTTGTTTAGCTTAGCAAAAAGAAGGCTGAGAGGGGATATGATAGCTTTCGTAAATACCGGGGAGGGTAAAGAGCCATTTAAGCTAAAGGACAATGTTATCACAAGAATAAATGGCTATAAATTGCCCACAAACAAATTCAGACTGGAAATTAGAAGGTTTCTAACCATCAGAGGGGTGAGGTTCCAGAAAACTCAATAGGAGTTTTGGGCAAACAACTTAAGTTTTAAGAGAGAGATGTACAAATTTAGGAATCTGATTGGGGGAAGGGTTTAGCAGCCCTGGGGAGTCACTTGTGGTTTTGTTTTATGTTCTAAATGCTCATTCTTCAGGGTTTCAGTTGGCCACTTGGAGGGCAATGATTTTCTCCCCTTTCTTCCCCCCAGTGTGTTCTGGGGTTTTTGGTTTTGGTTTATTGATCTCCTTCCTCTGAAGCATCAGGGGTGGCCACAGCTGGATATGGGACATTGGACCAGAAGGGCCAGGGCTCTGAGGTGGCACCAAGCATTCTCTCTCCAGTACTCGGCTGGCTGATTCTTGCTCACATGCTGTAGCTATATTGTAACATGGGATAGTGAAGATGCTTTGTCCTCTTAACCAGTATAAAAATTAGAGGAGGATTAACTGTATAATCTTTTTGACCTTTTATCAGAATGAAGTAAAAGTTTTACTACTTTGGCTCTTTTGAGGTTGTTTCCTTTAGGTATTTCCTCAAGAAGTGTGCATTTGTAATGCAGAAATCCCTGGTTTTTATTTATTTTTTTAAGTGGGGATACATACAGTTTCTAATAATTGAGTCAGTTAAAATTGAATTAGTTAAATGTATTGTGGTCCCTTGCTCAATTCACCTCATACAGGTACTATAATGCAATCTCTCTATCATGAAAGTGCAATTAACAAATGTTAAAAAAAAATTCTACAACTGCACTCGAAAACAAATCTATGTAAAATTTTAGAACCTACAAGCCAAAGCATGAAGGGGCATACAAATGTTTAGTATATCTGGCACATAAATACGTTGCAATGCCGGCTACAGCAATGCCTGCGAATGCCTGTTCTCACTTTCAGATGACATTGTAAATAAGAAGCAGGCAGTATTACTTCCCATAAATGTAAATAAATGTGTTTTTCTTAGAGATTGGCTGAACAAGAAGTAGGACTGAGGGGATTTATGAGGTGAATTGAAAAATACTATTTCTTTTGTTTATCTTTTTTACAGTGCAAATATTTGTAATAAAAATAATATAAAGTGAGCACTGTACACTTTGTAATTGAAATCAGAATATTTGAGAATGTAGAAAAACATCCAAAATATTTATAATAAATTTAAATTGGTATTCTATTGTTTAACAGTGCAATTAAAACTGCAATTAATCATGACGTTTTTTAAAATCTAGTTAATTTCTTTTGCATTAATCGCATGCATTAACTGTGATTGACAGCCCTGCTTTTAAATCATAATAATCAGGAATATAACCTGTATTTTCAAAGAATTTGAGTAAATGTATGATAATTTACTAAACCAGTCCATCTCATCAATTTGACAAGCTCCAGCTCTCATACTGACCAATGAATATTCACATTGTCTAGGGAAGTAACTAAAAGAAATAAAAAATATTAAAATGGTGGCTTTCTTTTGACTATTGATTTAAACTCAAACGCTTGATGTAGGTGTTTCTCCTTATGTTTATACACTGGTCCAAATAAATTTTAAGGTTAAAATTAGTGACTTAAATTACCATGATTTAAATCAATCCAGGTTTGGGCAGATTGATTTAAAGTACAGAGGGCTTCTCCTACTTCTAAACTTTTTAAAATTGATTATATGTCTCAAGTTCTTGATACTGACCATCTATCTTCCTCTCCTCCACCATCACCTTGGCATTTTTCTACCTTAATCTCATTGCTTTACCTAAGCATTTCATGTTTGGCTGAAGGTTTGTGATTCCTGTAATGAAAATGACATATGCCATAACTTCTATGCAGTGTTGTTGTTGCTATGTTGGTCCCAGAATATTAGAGAGAAAAGGTGGGTGAGGTAATATCCTTTATTGGACCAACTTCTGTTGGTGAGAGAGACAAGCTTTCTCTCCTTCAGGCCTGGGAAATGTACTCAACATGCTAAAAAAATCTGTTCTACCCTGTGTTTAGCTGTGACACTGAGTACATTTCCC